GCTTGTGAACTTCTTGTCAGAGAGCAATGCAGAGAGAAGGTACTGTGTCTGAGAAGAAACAAGACCGAAACTTGACATTTTTGTAGCTGCTGAAACGATCATTTCGTCGTTGGAGTAGATCGCTCCCACGCGGAAACCAGGAAGTCCCAAATCTTTGGAAAGGCTGTAAACGACGTGGACTCGTTTTGAGACCTCGGTGTTTTCGAGTTTCTTGTCTTTCAAGACATCCATTACACTTATGAACTGTTCAAACCCGAACATGGTGCCTGAGTAGATCTCGTCGCTGATGAGATGAATGTTTTTGGAAGTGATGAAGTCAACGAGAAGGTTGAGTTCACGTCTGGTCAATGCAGTGCCAAGTGGGTTAGATGGATTCGTGACAAGAACTCCTTTGACTTTGAGATCAAGTTTCTGGGCTTGTTGGTAAGCTTGGTTCAGAGCTGTTTCCGTGATTTGGAAGCCATTAGAGCTCGAGCAGTGAATGGGTACTATCTCAGCTCCGGTTCTCCATTTAAGATCTCTATCAAATCTGTAATCATTAAAAGCCTAAACGTAAGCGTATGTATTTAATGTGTTTAATTGGTATCCAAGTAAAGTAGGATATGGTCAGAATTGTAGTTTACCCTGGATAGTAAGGAGTAGGCAAGAGGAAAGCATCGCCAGGCTCTGCAAGACAAAACATGAGAGTCTCGTTCGCTGAGGTTGAACCAGCAGCTAAAACAATCTTTTTCGGGTCGAAGGTGACTCGGTTTCCTCTTATCTCCTCCATAAACTCAGCCATAGCCTATATATAAATAAAAAAGAACAGAGAAAATATTCATCAGTATTGAGAAATAATTCAGTACTTGTGTTACACGTTAGGTTCTCATAAAAAGAAGCTTACTTTTTTGAATTCAGGCATGCCATGATAGTCCTGAAAGAGAGCAAGCTCTCTGAAAATGGATTGACCGTTCCTCTTGAGACTAGCTGCGTCTGGGTTCTTAGCCAACCATGACTCGATCAAATCGAAACATAGCTGGTTTTCAGCTAGACCCATCTGGATCATCCCAGTAGGGTTCGTGATCTCATCGTAAGGATTCTTCTCGTACTCTTCCCATCCCAAGAAGTAGGATGAGTCTTGTCCATGACCATTGCTTGTCACTTTTGTCGAAAGCTGTTTCATTTTCTGATTTTAAGTCAAGAAAATATTATTATGGTCGTATAGAAAAGATTGATGTGGGAAGAGAGAGAGAGAGAGAGAGAGAGGTCTTGAGTTAGGGTTTTAAGTTGGTGAAGAGTGAGATGTGGTTGGAGAAGTAATGGGTCTGTTGGGATGTATATATAGATAATAATCTTACGACATTTGATCCCAAAAATTTGACAACAGAATCAGAAACTAGAGAGACTTTTTTGACCGTCCAGACATGACCAATCCATAGTTCTTAGTAAATTATATTCGCCAAGACATGTGAGACAACTTCTTTTCCGTTTTATTTTAATGCTATCGCTAATAATTAATCAGCTATTATTTGATTAAAAAAATAATTAATATATTGTACTAGTTCTTGTTTCTATTTGAAAATAAGAATGATCCATTATTGAGTTTCTATGTGTTATTGCATTCACACATTACACATACATACATCTAACATCTTAGTATTGGATACTTTATAAAAAAAAAAAAATCTAATTCTGTTTACGAAAAAAAAAATCCAATTCTATATACATCCATAACACCTTGAGCTTCTTTCCTCGGTTTCTTTGTTTGTTTTCTAGGATATAGACAAGTTAAATTATATATATTTTACTAATTGATCGGAATGAGAAAGGAAAATTTAATGATGATTAACTAAAATAATATGGTATTTAGTTAGTAAAATGATTAGTCTTTACGCGTTTCAGCACCGCCGGACCGTCCTTATTATGACCATAGTTTTTTTTTTTTCTCTTTTGACGACAGTTATGACCATCCTTTAGGGACCAAACATATCAATTAAAACCAGTAAACTGAATTGTCGCAAATACTGTTTTAACTAAAAGCATAAATAATGATGGTTATAAACATTCTAATACTAGTATTTCACTCACGAAGTCAGTTTAAAAACTCACACTCTATGGAGTTGGGTAGTTAACTCATAGATTCAAGCGTTTGTCCAATATCAATGCTTTGTATTTTATTTTTTCCTTTGACGTTGAAATGCTTCATAATTACTTGGTAAAACTCACTTTCTTTATAATATGAGTATTTTATGAAATTTTTAATCAGCAGATTCTGTAATAAAGTGTCAACACGTTGACTTATATAACAATATGAATATAAAAAATAAATAGGGTGGTAAACGTAAAATTGAAAAACAAGGAAATGACATACTACAAGAAAAGGTGAAGAGAGACAAGTGGAGGGGGTGGGATCAAATGTTGTGATACCATTACCGACATCAAATCGCCTTAAGAGGCACATTACATTAAGATGATCCTGTATACGTATGCGTATACGTATGTATAGATTTATACAATGAAAAACACATTGGTTTATACGGGAGAGGATGGTAAGTCAAATAGGGCCATTTATGCTCCCTAAACTCTAGTAGTCCCAAGTGTCTTGGTCCGGCATTATTTGTTTATTTGCTTCCTCTATTCATTGACAGCAACTTATTTCTTTGGTGGGTTCATTTTCATGCAAGTATTTTTTTTTTTTTTAACTGATCAGGATGTTTTCAGTTTTGTAATTGACAGATTGATCGAGCCAGATATTAATTATTGCATATATGATATAGTTATTTTGGTTGGTCATGAGATTTGAGTTTTTTTAATTATGTATATTCGAATCATCTATCTATAAGCATCATCAGTAGGACGCGCAAATATTTCTTGAAACATGGGATTTATAAATAAAAATTCCTTAAAGAAATTAATGAAAAAATGATTTGAAATAAGTGATTCATTGATTTGGACCTATAACGATTAATATATCAACTTAGTAATTTTTAATACATCAAATTGAGTTATATTAACTTAAGAAAATCAAGTGGACGATATCAAAGCCAATGTTGGTAGCCGTTGGTTATATAAACTTATGCCCCCAGATTCGTAGGCGACGTTGTGTGATTTAAGTTTGACTCCAACTATTAACTAACTTAACTGGAATATTCTTTTGTTAGGTATTGTTTCTCTGAAAAAAATATATAGGTTTCACGTCAGGAAATCGTTATTATTTCACTTATATGATTTTATATAGTAGTGTGGTTTGTTTAATAGACCCACTTTCGAATTTTTCTTTTGATAAATAATGAGACGTTGCGATTTTGTTTTTCTGATTTTAGAAAGCTCAAATTGATTTGATTGGTGCGATAAAAATGGGTCATCGTATAACAACTCATAATAATTGATGAAATGCAATACGACTCATTGAAAATGGCATGTGATATACATAGAAGAAGATGATGGAAGCCATATATTTCGGTATTGATGATCATCTTATTCTTGATTATGCTCTCTGAAACAACCAAAAAGATATCATATCAACTCATAAGATGCAATCATCCAATATATCATATCATACAGCTTTTTTAGATTCGATATTTTGAAAAGAATCAATCCAAGCTAGCTAGAACACCATATGAATATTAATTTTAATGCATATATAACACATAGTTGTTATCTATTTCCTTATTTTTGTATATATGGCATTAGAAACAAACAACAAATAAACAATAGTACTTTGTGAAAGTTATATATGGAGAACATTTTATGTATATATAACCTATGTATTTTGTAATGAAAAAAAAAATGAAAAAGAAAAAAAGAGAGGAGGTAGAGACGTGAGGGGAAGCACATGGAGATGCAGTAGAAATAGGGTTAACGAATGCATGTGAAAAGTATAGGTTTATTAAGACCCTACCCACCCCCAAGTCCCTACACATCATCATCAACAACATTTTGTGACAACCATCGTGATCTTTCTCTCTTTTTTTCCAATTTCTTATTTTGTTTTTTCTTAATTTCCACTATCATGTTCCAAGAATTGAAAGCGTCGGCCCCATATATCTAACACTCTTTCAAAACCTGATATGTATATTATTTTATTTTTTTGCCACTATTCTTATATATATATGTTCTTGATATAATGATATATATGTTAGCGTGTTAAAAACTTGTTTTTGGGTTGAAATATTAGTTTTCGGTTGATATGTCCAAATGAAGCATCCCAATAAGTTTATGTTTCGGTTGGAGGTTTCAAGATTTTTTTACAAAAATTAAGAATTTGAAAGTGTTAAAATCATGAAAGAGATAGACTTAATCCAAAAATGATGTTGTATATATAAGTAGATTTACAAGTTGGTCTTATATGACAATTGGGTAGGTCATATATATGACTCATATGATCCAAGCAAACTTGACAAACAAAACCAAAAAGAAAAAGTGGAAACAAAAGAATCCCACCTGCATTGGATACCAAGTTAACAAACAGTATGGTCGACTTGTGTTTATGTCTTTATAGCAGTTTGTATTTGTCTCTCTATCCTTTTCCATATTTATAAATCTACATGCTGTATTTTTGTTTGATTGTTCTATTCTTTTTTGGCAAATGGTTCCCAAGTTTTGAAACCAATTATAGATTGGAAAACGACTCATATTAGCTACTATAGGTTTACATACATACATCAAAAAACACTATTACTCTGTTTCAGCTCAACAAACCAAAGATTAATAAAAAGAAACGAAAAACCTAGTGAGTGTATCATTACGTGGCTCTGTACTGTCTATCCCAATATCAAAGAATCTATTTTATTATCAGGCATGGGCCTTTATCAACCAAACCAAATAGAAAAGGCCCTTTTCTCGACTTGCAGAGTTGCATCGAGCCTTCTTTAATCTTGGGACAAAAACACCAAATGCGAGGAGAAACAGTGATACATACACTCGAATGACCCAAAATGAGTGGAGGATCTCAAATTTAATCACCCATACAATTAGCGAACAGAATTCTAGATTTTATCTGAAGATGTTACAGCTTTATATCATATAAATGCAGGCTAATTTATTAAATAGTTAAATTTTGAATCAAATAGTTGAGTTTGGTTTACAATTTGTGACAGTTGTGTTTCTTTCTATATTGAAAAATGCATTTAACAGAGATGAGATATATCTGGTTTCATGTTTTAGAACCAGTAATAATAGTGTACTAATGTAATGGCTTGAGGTGGAAAACTTGACAAGCTGGTTTGTATGAACTCTTGGTAGCTGCTTGCTCAAATTTCTTGTTTGCTGCTTCGTTTTCCTCTAAATTCGTCTGTGAGAAGAAACGGATCCACCACGACGAGCTACGCATTTTAGCCTGCAAAACATCCGGATTGCATCAAGTTAGCAGACAGAGAAGTATAGACCTAACCCACACCACAAGAACATGGTTTTAATGAACTTACCGGTCGTCCAAATTTTGACATTTCCGCGCCTTTAGCCTTTTGTTGACCAGGGTTACCTATAATGGAAGAAGATTAAGTGCAATCAGACTGGATTTACATCTATTACTCTCAGAAATTTTTTTGCCTTTTCTAAAAGGTTAGGTTTTAGTTACCTGCAAAAAGAACAACACCATCTGAAGCAACCCGCGCAAGTTCAGGAACAGTTTTGTTCAGGTACCTAGGTGAGAGGTAGTCCAAAGCATCTGAGACGATCACAAGAGAAAACGACTTGGACCGGTATGGCAGAGAGAATTTAATGTCGGCCACACGTACAAGGCCTTTGTGTAAAAGACTTTTGCAGTTAGAGTCTGCATCCTCTACATCATACGGCTCAACACCCCATGCTTCAGTCTCTTCTTGGTTCAACAGACTCGACACCACTGAGCATGTTTCAGGACCCACATGCAGTACTTTGCGCATGCTATCTCCGTAGGCACTTTTAAGAACAGGAATAGCTCTTTGAACTTCTGATGTGCAAGAATAGTCACCTGTAGAGAGTTGTTAAACAAATTCGACAGTTAATGTCACACATTCTTGCAGGATTATCATAAATTGAGCACCATCATAAGCACATGTCTCGAAGATGAGTAACAAGAATTACCTGAAATCTTGCTGACTTCTCTAATACTTTTGAACATACCTGTATACACAGAAATTGTCCACAAGGGCTTTCAAAAACGGAAACACAAGCAAAAAGAAAAAAACGTGCATCTTATATACTTAGAAGATATACACACCTGGACCACTGTAAGCATAACCAATGAGAAGACACGCTCCCTGGAAACATTTGAAAAAAAACAATCAGTTTTGTATCATATGAAACAAATTTTCTTCTTAGAGATTACAATCATCATACCACGAGAACAAGGCAAACAGATAACAGAGGAGACGAACGGGATTTTGAGTGCAAAGCTCCGACAAATGGAAAGCTTCCACTATCCCCTACACGCCTCGTTACTTGCCGTCTCGACATGGCTAAGATTCCTTAAACCTTTTTTTACACCTTCAAACCAAAATAGACATTAGAATTGATTCATCCACACTATGCTCTTTTTAGCTTCAATGTCTAGAAAAACACAAAGAACATATCAAGCATTACCGAAAAATTCAAAACAAACCAATTTCAGGAGTTTTTAACTTCGAGCAAGCTATGTCCAAGTTTTTACCAGATATGGATTCAAGTAAAAAATTAGGTTCATGAAAGATGAACATCCCGAATCTGAAATACAAACTAAACAGGTTTCGCGCAACAAGTTCATTGTACCATTGCAGTAACGTAATAGCAGTAAATCACCAAGCAGAACATGGAATCCAAATACAAATCAATCCCATGGATAGATCCATCAAACAGGTGATTCACGAAAATAGAACCCAAAAATAAATACGGAAGAATCAAAGATGAAGATAATAGTATGGATACCTTGAATCAAAGATTTCAAACAAATGATGTTCGGATCTAAAGATCTCAGATCCGAAAAAATGCTTCTTTCTGTGTAGCTCTACTAAAATTTTTACTAAAGAAGAGCTTCGTCCCCAGTGTTATTATTATCGAGTGCGTTACTCCCAAAACGCTGCCGTTTTGGTTTTATGCGCATTTAACTAACAATCAGACTTCTTGCCGTTTTGCCGACACTTACAAGTTGCAAGGTTTAAAAAAACAACATGCACTGTACAGTGTACTATGACTCAACAAAACAAAATGAGTATTTTACTGAGTCCTCTCTTTCTTCTTCCCTTCTCCATCTTCTTTTTTGGATTTAGCTTTCTTAGTCAAATCTTGCACTCCTCTTCTCTTATACATCTTAAAACTCATGTTTCTCTCAACTGCCATACTCCTCACCTTCTCTGTAATCTCTACAGCGAATTCTCTATTATACAGTTTCTTTAACCCCTTCATAAGTTTACCAAATGTGTCTGGTTGCGGCATGAAGTCCATCTCCATCATTTCAAGACAATAAGCACACGCCTCCTTTTCATAACCTTTTGAGAACAAGGCATGTATCCATATTGTCCAAGACGCTACATTCAGCTCGCAAGACCCTTTACTCGTGATGCAACTCCATATATCTTTCGCCATTTCAAGCTTCTCGTCTCTTAGAAGGGTATTTAGCAATAACTTCAAGGTTACGTATTGAGGAACGGAGAACAGTCCTCGAGTTACCATTTCTTTGAAGTGATCAGAGGCTTCGAGTAAAATACCTTGGCTCGTTAAACCATTGATCATAATAATAAACGTATCTGCTCCAGGTCTCAAACCGTTTGTTTCCATTTCGTTCCACAATCGAATAGCTTCCTTAACTTCTCCTAGCTTACAAGCCAATCTGATGACGATATTGTAAATGCCAAGATCAGGATAATACCCTATTTGCTTCATCTTCTCCATCAGCTCCAAACAATCTTCAATTTTTTCTTTCTTCTCATGAGTCGTCATGATATGCATATAGGTGAGTTGGGACGGGATGAGCCCTTTCTTTATCATGTCGTCTAACACAATATAACACTTATCAACGTTTCCACATATGCAGAACCCATTAACTAATGCAGTGTAAGTCACAACATCAGCCTCACATTCAAACCTCTCCATCTCAGCAAATACCTTCATTGCCTCCTCCACTCTATCCACCTTACACAATGCTTGGATCAAAACAGTGTAACAGTTTGCATTCGGTTCAAAACCTCTTCTTCTCATATCTTTCAAAAGATCATAAGCATCTGCTATTTTACCAGAATTAGCATACCCACTTAGCAAGTTGGTGTAATCAACAATGTCAGGCTCAAACCCAGCTTCCTTCATCTGAACCAGAACATGTTTAGCTTCCATCATCTTCCCTTGGCTGCACCAACCATACAACAACGAAGTAAAATATCTCAAATTCGGAGGAAAACGCAATCTCATATCCTCGAAGAGCTTTGCAGCATCCTTAACACTACCGTTCTTACACAAAGCATCTAGCAGACACCCGAATACATACTCATCCGGTTCTAAACCGAGATTAGGCATTTCGTCGAGCACCTCAATAGCTTTCTTCACCATATCCGCAGACGCAAACCTCTGAACCAAAACCACAAACAATTCCGGTCCAATCAATTGCGGATTCTCCTTCCTCATCTCTTGGATTAAACCCCAAACGGCTCCAAATTGACGCATCTTACTTAGAACTCTCACCATTGATTTATACACTTCGATACTGTGACAGTAACCAGGTTGCTTCGCCGCCCAGACGAAGAATCTGTAACCTAGATTCCCAGCATCCCCACAACGATTCAAAACACGTTCGATTAACCCGGGTCGGAGTTCAACACCGGATTCGTCAAGCGCGAGTTCCAACTTCGGAACCCTAGAATGAAATTTCCGCAAAATCCTGTAGGCTCTCTCGACATCACTAGCGAATGCATCGTACTTGGAGTTCTTCGTACGCTCGTTGTGGCTCTTCTCAAGACAAACTAAACCACTTGTCCGGAAATTACCTTCGAGAGCTTTAGAAACGTGAAAGCTTCTGTGGATCAAGTCAAAGCGAGACTTGAATTGAGAAGAAGGCGAGCAAACTTGGCGTTGAAGAAGAAACTCGACTATGGGAGAGAATCTATGCATCTCGTAAAACGGTAAAAGCATATGAATTGTTTGTTTTCATCGACTTCACGCATTTTCTTGTCCGCCGTTAACGAGACTTGAAATGCCGTCGTTGAGTTAAAATAAGAGTTCGGACCTGGGCCAGATGTATGATGGGCTTTGTTCAGGGCTTATTAGGCCTGTTGTGGCAATTTAAGATTTAAATTTTGGGATCGAATGTAACGAGTTACGTACCGGTCCATCATAATAATGTGGGGTCATAATTGTACTTGACAATAAAAGTGGGAAATTAAGTTGTCGAAGCAAGGTTTGACTTAACTATCGGCGGCGACAGATTAGTAGATTACTCTATTACCCTTTAAGCCAATGATGTCACTGATGATGACTAAACACACCGTACAATCCATCAACATATCCAAGTCAGCAGCACAGGTCCAAGCCAATCCCATTACAAAATTACACACAAAAATTAAACAACACTTAGATTACTCATGCATACGATTATAGAAACTGTAAGTCTGTAACACGAGATTAGGTTGTGTCATGTAAAAAAATCTTATGTTTTTGTTAATATATATACCCAAAGGTAACTAAACAAACATCATCTATATATATGTATGATCAAAGGCATCTAAGTTTGTATCTCTAGCTCTTTTGATATTCAAGTGAAAAATAGAAACTAATTAATTAATTATAAAAAGTGATTAGTAATCAGGCATGGAGTGACTAATCTTTCCTTCTTCTTCCTCCATCTTCTTCTCAGTGATCTTCAGCCATATACAAACTCCAGTGAAGCTTATCACTAAGCTCGCAATTCCACTTCCAAGCCCAATCCCAACGATTGCCATTATCGACAGTCCTTTGTTCTTCATCTCCTCCAACGGATACCCAAACAATTTCTTGTTCCCTGAAAACGAGCTCGCATTGAACCTCGGCAAGTTCCCGTTTCGCATCGCCAGATTCGCCGGAATCTGACCGGATAGTTTGTTGTCGGAGACATCGAACGTTGATAACCTCGCGAGGGTCCCCAACTGTGGCGGGATTTGGCCGGTGAGCTGGTTACCGTGAAGATCGATGACGTTTAAGTAAGCGCAGAGAGCTAGCTGCGGCGATATTTCACCGGAGAGACGATTAGCCGAGAGGTTAAGAACAGCGAGGTTTACGAGGTACTGTAATTGCGGCGGGATCTCGCCGGAGATCTGGTTGGAAGACAGATCTAGGGATTGGAGATTCGTGCAATTAGAGAGGTACGGAGAGATTGAGCCACGGAGAGAGAGGTCTGTCAAGGAGAGTTTGTATATTCTGCCATTGTTGCAGGTGACACCGTGAAGGGAAGAGGTGAAGCCGGAGCAAGGGTTCGAGAAGAAGGTTTTAGTCCAGTTACGGAGGTTATTCGCCGGATCTTCTAAGCTCTGACGTAGATTCGTTAAGCACGCCTCGTCGTTTGGGTCACCGGAGACCAAACGCTGTGCCGTTTCGAAGCTTAGAACGAGGAGGAAGAAGAGTAACCGGTAACTAAACCGGTGATTTACCAACATCGGAGATATTTTGTCAAAAGGCAGAAGAAGAAGCGAAGCGAAGCTCCCAACACAAATATAAACTTTGCTTGTGAGTGATCTTCTTCGTCTTTCGGCCGGTTATTAATGCGCACGTTAGTTTAGTCTTGGGTTGTGCGCATCATAGAGATTTGATAGATTAGTTCAATACAAGTATACATGTATGGTGTCACTAATTTGGGGATTAAAAACTTGATTTTGGAAAGACATTTCGCTTAGTATATTAATAAGAGCTGCATAATCACTTTCATATTTTGCGATTTTATCGTTTTTCAGCCTTATAAAAAAAATACTTTATGTGGAATACAGACGAAGGTTTCATGCTTGTTCATGTCACACCGCATTCGCAATTTTCTTATAATTATTTGACTATAATATGACATAGAGTATTGAGTTCAGTACTATTATAATCATATGATTCGTATCCGTCAAGATATTATTCATTCTCTCTTTTATTTTCCAACATAAATACTATTAGAAAGAAGATTCATATCAGATATGTCTTAAGACGTACGTAGAGATATGTTTGTTTATATTATAAAAATGTGACTGATATCTAATCTTAACGTGCAGAATTCAAAAAAATACAAACGCATTTTCTATGCACTAGTGAAAAAGACAAGTTTTATGCCAATAGCAACCCAAACACTTGCCTTGTCTTACATTAGAAAAGACTTGTGTGGTTTCAACGAGTTGTCGACATCTTAGAAATCTATCTACAAGACAGGAGAAGATTGGGACTTGAGAGATCTATTGCTGTCTTTCGTGTTGATACTTTATCTCAAATTTCAAAAATATAAACACTATTTCATAGCTACAAATATACAGTGATTTCAAGTATTAGGGCAAACCAGAGAGACTTTGATCAATATGCTTCAAGCAACAGCGGTTTTGCAGCAGACACTGATGACATCATCGAGAGATGGATGATCTCCAGTGCCTTCGTCTTTTCGACCGTACAACAGTTTCTTGCCTCTGAATACAAACGTACCTCCCTGAGAAGAAGACATAACTGAGGATCAAACAAAAAAACAGACAAATTCGTCTATAAATAAAATCTTGTCTAGTGAAGAACTAAGCAAGAAGAAGAACCTGTTGCAACACACTGCTTCTGTCTTCAGGAGTGGCTTCTATGGTGTAATTCTTTGTAGCTTCTCGAATCTCTTTAAATCTTGACAAAACCTTTTTCTGCAATAATAGAAGTTTCTAACATGTTTCACCATGAAATAATATATGCAAACAAACACTAAAAAATGTCTGAGGCGGTTCATACGCTAGCTGGGTTGAAGAAAGTGCGGCCTAAACCGTAGTATAATCCAAGAACATCGTATGCCTGCATATTTAAGAAAAGCCATCTCCAAATTTCAATCACCATTTGAACATAAAAGATATCTCAAAAAAGACAAGGTATGTTTGATTGTTTAACTTATACCTTGCGTTCAGGATCCGCATAAAGACATTCCATGGGAAAAGGCAACTAAAACAATGAAAACATCACTATTAGATCCATTATCTCGGTTGAGCAAATTTGCATGCGAGTCTTTCGAATTTTGTTTCCCTGTTATCTTTCTAAGTTTTTGTGAATTCACCACAGGAAGAAGTCCCATAGTCCAACGACTTCTCTAAGGAGTTGGGGACTTAGCTATTTTGGTTTATGGTATTTCTGATCTAATGCTATGAGCCTCCAAAAAGTACAGTATATAAAGCCAGGAGAATACTTGAATGGAGGATGACATCAAGCTAAATCTTCCCTGTATCTCTTGATCACTCACCCACTTCTCATGTTCACATTTGAAGGTTTACAAAAACCAAGCAAAAAACAATTATTTTTTATTAATTGTACCAATAAAGAGTAAGTGTCTAAGTGATACAATTAATCTTTGGTCTTTGTTAAACTGCAACGTGAGAGTGAGAAGAGGGAAATAAACGGGGAGATATGGGGAAGACTCGGTTTGATCCTATCCTCGACTCATGGCTAGAAAATAGAGTTGTCATGGATAACATCAGGGGAAATAACACTAGATTATAGCAAAATATGAAAAGAAAATTCTTCTCTTAAAAAGCTCATAAGGTTTCTCTAGAATAGAACAGAACAGGGACATCGTTTCCTATAAAGTCTTGCTATCGTGAAGGTCCAGAAGCTCTTAAAAATGTAAGGAAACGGAGAATATGCAAAGCCAACATAACATAGCTACCAAAATAAGATATCCACGAGCTTATTAATATACATTTTCAAGAAAAAGGAGAAAGAATTATACCCGAGTCGCAAGTAGACGAGCCTTATCAGGAGTTCCAACACCAACAGCTATCAATTTAACACCAGCTGCATCAAATCTCGGTTTCGCCTCTTTCAAAGCAGTAGCAAGTTCCCAACTTCCACATAAAAGAAACCAAATTCATTATCAGTAGTTCTAAACTCTTGCAACCAATCCTCGATTTTCAGAAGAAGAAAAATATTCCAAATGTGTTTCAATCAATTTACCAGCAAACGCATCCGAAATGCCTCAAAAGCACAACAGCAGCAATTCCCTGAGTATATTAAAACACACAACTGAAACGCTAATATCTTAAAGAATCAACAGAGATCTTCTTCAAATGAATCCTAATTTCTAATAACATACATCGTTCTGATCCCAGAGATCACTGAACTGCACGGGCTGACCAGAAGCCGTAAAGATGGAGACATCGCCGAGGATCTCACCAATATCTTCTCTGTAATCAATGACGGAATCAGCGGCAGCTCTCGCGGAAACTACACGGGGTCTTAAGATGGGTGAAACGGAAGAGTGATTGGATTTTAATCTGGTAGAAGGAACATAAGCAATAGAAGATGAAGGTAACTGAGAGAAGGGTTTCGAGCATATATGAGAAACAGAGGAGGACGAAATGAGCGGCAAAGAACTTGGAGATCGTAGAGAGAGTATAGCCATTGGTGAGTCAGAAACCAAAATCATAAACACCTTAATTTGGCTATGCCACAAAAATGAAGGAGACGAGACGAAAAAAAAAAAAGAAGAAGAACTAGAGAACCCACTTGGCGAAGAAATGACCGAGAAAAAATTCCGAAGTTGTTTTAAATTATGAGCCCATCTTGATTTTGAAAGCCCAATTCAAATCTAAATCCAAATCCATTCAAACAAAATAGCAAAATTGCTGTTTTCCATTTTCTCATTGTCCCTTTAAATTGCCGTAATTGAATGTCTGAGTTATGGATCAATGGTGTTCTGTATTATCCAGCTATCAATGGTGTTCGATTTAATAAACTCACAAAATTATCAGTAATTTTAACAGAAAAATCTAGCTTGAGAGAGTAAAAAAGATAACAATATCACAAGATTGCTGAATTTCACAAAACTTGTTCAGTCGCTAAACTGACAAACAGGGAGATAATAAGTATCAAGCTGCCAATACTTTTGCTTGACACCTTCCCAAACTTCATCCCCAAGGCAATCCTTAACCGGCAACGGAATCAACTGAGTGCTAAACCCTAAATTCTCAATCTCCAAAGTCACCAAATTGCAATACACAACATGAAAAAACGCATTGCTCCCACAAAACCCATTGAAATACGAATAAACCCCCTCGGGCTTCAACAACTTGGGAAGATTCTGATGAAACTCTCTCAAATCTTCATAATACTCTCCGTAAGTATCAAAGAAGATCCCATCAAAACGATCATCAAGCTTATCAAGAACATCTTGCCATCTTCCAAAAACAATCTTCACATTCTCTTTCTCTCCCCAACCAGATTCAATCATACGCTTATAGACTTCAGGATGAGCTTCGATGATCGTGTGTTTACTCGGACTATACTGTTGGATCGCTGTATCGACTAGCCCCATACCGAATCCAACGTTCAGAATGTGACCACCATTGGTACAGATTGCTTTAGCGTGAGCTTCCATAAGTGGTTTTTCCCAAGCCATCATCACACCTTTGCTTTCACCATCCATTATCTTGTCTTCACTGAAACTAACTCGGTCTTGAAGATAATCTTGATTAGAGTACTCGTTCTTGGTTTGGTTTCTTGCTATTGTTCCCAAGATCAGCTCTGATTGGATTCCGGTTTTGAGAAGAAGATCGAAGGTTTCTTGGTGTCCTGCTTCCATGGCGAAATCTCCTGCTGAGAGACTCGATGGGGACAATGCGTTCCACGGAGCTCCGGATTCCAGTAATGCCGTCACAATCTCTGCGTTTCCGATTTTAGCGGCGTGCATTAACGGAGTTAGACCGTCCTTGTCAAAATGTGTAACGTCGGCACCGGAGTTTATCAAAGATTGGACCTTTTCCAAGTCGCCGGATTTAGCAGCTATACATAACTGATCTGATTCTTCCATTGATTGTGAACCACTCTGAACAAAACGAAACGAAACTCTAATTAGTCATTGAAATACTCACAAACAAAAACTAAGCATAAATTGGGATCTACCAATAACCAAGGCATCAATGAAGAAACCAAAAAAAACAAAAGTCACGAAGATTTTTCTGAGGCTCAGACACGCACAAAAAATAAGCATCATGAAACATTACAAGAGTTATTTTTGGTCTCTCGAGTAAGTTTCAGCATCGAGAAATGTTTTGTTGTCATCACCGCCTCAAAAAAAAAAAAAACTCTGAAACCAGGAGATGGTTTTCTAAACAGAGAAGTAAAGAAAATGTGGTAGATTAAACGAAACTAAAATTCACATAAACGAGAAAAGAAGAAAGTAGTGGTTACTTCGTTTTTGATGTAGATCGACTCGAGAGAATAGAGAAGAAAACGAATGAAAGTATCGGCTAGTTATATATGTCACACGGTGAATTTTAGAATTAGGGTTTTTTATAAGGCCTTTTTGGGTTTATATTTGATATATGTTCGTACTTTAATGGGCTTGTCTCTCTAGAATTGATCCACAATAACATATTACCAAATCAGGAAAACTTGATTTTGTCCAATAAAACAGAAGACTTCAGAGATTAATAGTGTTAAGTCATTTAGGTTATGCAATAATAGCATGGTCCAAACTAAAGGTGCCATCTGCAGCCGTGTTTAATAATAGTGAGTTTAGAGTGCCAACATAATTTAAATCTGAAAGGAGCCAGGGATTATAGGCGACGACGCAGAGAGCCTTTCTTTTTCTCGTTGCAAAAGTATCAGTTGGGGAGGCTTGTAATAATAAACAATTCGATTTTTATCTTTTCCAGTCCATTGCAATATATTCCTTGAGTTATATGATTCATCATAGTCCCAAAAACCACGAGAAATTGTCTTATTTTCACAATCAAGTCCATAAATGATTTTTTATCCCCACAACTTTCAAAACAAAGTAATTTTTTAAGAACACTTAATATACACTATTTTTTACAATAATCCTTTAGCTAATCAATAGTATTTATTAAGAATGCCAAACATAACAAACTAAAAACGAGTAGCTAAACTGAAAAAATCACACAAAAAGACTTGGAAATATAGTATTTTAAGGAAATTTTCGTAAAAGACTTGGAAACACACACAAAAAAAAAAAAAATTATGAGAAGAGAGCTCATATTCTATGGGTGTATAATGAGTCTATCATGCCCAGAAACTGAGCAGATCAGGATTTTTAATCTTGTTGTTTATAATCACCGCTCTCTTCTTATCTCCGATCAAAAATTTGGTAAATCAAATAGAAAGAAAAAAACCAAACGCAATATTATAGAGAAAATCAATAACTAAAGCAGGAAAATATATAAGGAGGCGCAGAGCAATGTGTTGCAGGGGATGAGTGTTTAGTGGCTTTATATATTACCCCGACCCGAGCGACAAATTCTAGTCGTTTAGAGCTAGGGTTTCATTGGGCTCTTTATGGGCTTATAAATAGTTGAACAGATTCTTAAATAGGCCTGAATGTTTGGGGCCTTTATTAGTCTTTGAGTTGTTTAACGAAAAAAATATGGAAGGTGCATTCTTCTCTCGTCTTTTTCCTGATTCTTCTTCAAAGCACTAGAATAAAGAGACACTTTTAATTGACGATGTTGTACGCAAAAGTAGCATAGAAACATTCAAAGATGGGTGTATGGCTTTCTGCACAGGAACAAATAACTTTATTGTTTCTTAATAATTTGTCAATATACAATCAATTTTGCTTTTGTAATCTTTCAAATTTGCTTAAATATTGCTAATATTGGTTAAATTTGCTTAAATACTATAAGAGGTCTCTTTTCTTTTTTTTGCTTTTTTTGGTTAGTATAAGCTAAAATAACCAAATTTATTTGACTTAACACGACTACGTATTCATCAGTTACAAAGTTACGTAATAATTTATCCAACTTTGAAGTTAATGTAATAAAACATTTTTGCGAGAAAAGCAAAAGTATATGAAAATCAAAAGAAAAGAAAAAGAGGGATATATAGATTTCTTGTAGAAAGTAGTAGTAATCTTTTGCTTTTCTTTTTTAACGAATTTAAGACATCTTTATATAACCTTTTGGACTTTCTCACAACTTATAATTATAATATCAAACACTTGTCTTGACTTGACGATCTATTTAAAGTAATTCTTATTGTTATACTTATATGTAATCAACCTCATAAGCTTAAAGCTATTAATCCACTCAATAATCAAATACTAAGACTAGACCACGTTGAAGTGATGCTGTATGGCTACAAATTACTCTCTCACTCTCTTTTCAGCATGTCAGATTATCAACCATATGCTCTATCCACTATTTTTCAGTTTCATCTAATATTTGCTTGTAACAGTTATTTACGAGTAATTACGACAAATGTTTTTGTTATATATGGAGTCTACTATTACCACCTTTTATCAACGTTTTGCGGCAGAATGAAATTGAACTGCGATGCATATGATAAATTAAAGCAAACAGTTTTGAGCTTTCAAACATTTAACGAAATAAAAACAATTTGTTTACTAAGTATACTAAGTATGCATACTTGTTAACATGTATGGCTGAAGTATATAAAAGGAGGAGAAGTTAGCTAATGTCTAAATGCACCTAATCAATCAAGACATGAATGCGTGACTAGCTAGTAGGCGGTAGGCCGATGTGAAGTCATCAAACCATCGCTATCTTTGATCCCCTACCTTTGTAATAAATATATATATTTTTACAAAAATTAATCCACATGTTAAAATTCTCATGCAATATTGCACATTAATAAAGCATGTAAATTGCTACGGCTAGTAAAAATGAAACATATGCACTCAAAACTTTAATAAAGCTACAGGATATGGATGCGACGCTGTCTCAAAGACTCGAATAAATTTGATATTGCAATAAAAATTATAAATCCTAAGTAATCATTCAAAATCAATCTGTTTAGTGAAAATTAGAACGAAAATATTATGCGTGCATTGTTTTGGACGTGTTAAAACTTAAAACGATCCAAATTGACAAACGATGATCACGTATTTGTCTAAACGAATTCCATAATTACTCGATCCGGATAGTAACACGTTCTTTTAACTCGAACCACTTCCATAATTCCACATTACAATGCCATTTACTTCTGATTTATAAAACTGATCGAGAATTAAGTGGTTATTTTCTATGGATATTTACATCCTATTTATAGAAGAAAATGAAAATTAATAAGAAGAGAAAACAAATTGTATAAACAGAATATCATGATCTCTCATTCATAAACTATACGACCGTATGAAGATTTGCTAATATTTTATTATTGCTCGACATTTATTTACAAAAGAAATAGAGAAGACTTCTACTAGTACGTAACTAGTATCTCATACATATTAATTTCGTTTATTTAGTTCTAAAACGACGCATATATATTAGCTGTGGTTTGTAAATATTAAATTACGTGATCTCTCATCATAGAAGGATTTCGTTGGACTGTAACAACAGTAGTATTAACAGACGACCACGTAGCACACGTTGAGTTCTGTTGGATTTGACGCATGACCAAAGCTTGTCGTAAGCTCAAGAGCTTCTCGTGGAGAGCACGGTGTTCTAACCGTAGACCATCGCTTTCCATCTTCGCACGTTCACAATGGTACAAAACGTACCGGAGCCGGTTTTTCAATTCTCGGTTCTCGAATTTGAGCTGGTTAAGTTTGCTTCTCACGTCTTCTAGGTGTTTTTGTTTCTTGATCCTCGACCGTTGAGCTGATTTTCGGTTCGATAGCTTTCGTTTCTTTCGCCGATCGTCTTTATCCGAAGAGACACCGCTCGAACCAGTGTGTTTCAAGGGTTTGTCTTTAAAACCCGGACTGGAATAACGTTGGTTCTGGATTTGAGTTGGGTTTATTTTATCTAAACCAGGATTGACTTCCATGGGACGAACCGGTGAATTAAAAATGGAGAATAGATCCGATGCGTCGTCCCATGGGGTGAATCCAGTTTCCAAAGCCGGTACATGATTGGAAAGAACCGGTTCAGACATGATAGACATAATAATGGTTCTCAAAAGTTTAAACCGAGAGGAAAAATTATTGAAACGATATCAAAATTGTAGAAGTGAAAGAGGGGAGAAGGGGAAAAGGGAAGAATTGCATTGTAGGAGGTCCGTATTTATATATGGGACAGACGAAGTAATGGGGCAAAAAACATGACATGAGGTTAGTTTCGTCATTGTATAGTAAGAGTCCTTGTTTTCAGTGTTTTGCATAAAGTTGTTTATTTTTTCAGTGTTTTTACTTTTTACATTAGGTTCCATAAAATAAAAATGAAAGAAAAGGGAGCGAAACTGCTACAGAGAATGAACATGTGTCAGTATGGGATTAGAGCTAAGCCGAGCCGGTCTTTATCATTCTGGCTAAGTTCATTGACGCATTTAACTTTATTCCGAATATTCGGTTCCAAATATACTTTGTGAAGAAAAGTAAGTCGCAGACCAAACCAGAACCTTGTAACAACTTCTAGTATTTAGTTATGTGATTTTATTTAACATTTAACTCTGTATCGTGTGTTGACAAACAAAAAAAAACTCTGTATCGTGTACTGTTAACTCAGCAGAGTAACACTAGTGCTGTAGTGATGGATGTTTTTTTAAAAAAGAGTGGATAAAACAATTTTGTTTTCGTTTAGATAACAGCTTCTTGTCATAGTGGAAATTACATTTTTTTTTAAGATATTTCTAGAGTGTTTGACAAATGTGCCGATAACAAATCTCGAATTTAAAATGATATATACCGGGTATATAATATGCATCATGTGCCTGTATTTATAGATATGGTTTCAATACGAAATAATAATTTTAGAGTTAACTCTCCGTTAGTCCTAATCAGTTTACTTTCATTTTCTTTTCAAAGCACTATCTAAGTAACGTCGGAAACCATATTGAAAATTGAATTGATAAGCATGTTTTACTATATATCTCGCTGGCTTTCTTTCTTTTTTTTGCCCTCATAGGATAATTCAATATACTTTTAGAAATTGACGTCCATGTGGTTTGTTCCTACTTTATAGATTCATAATAACATAAAACTTTCTACTTTGTAGGCATATTCATGTGCACATAACCTTTGCAATATGTACAATCATATATCTTTCACTATTATCAAGTAAACCGGACTTGATATTCTTTAATTATTATTTTATAAAATCGTCATAAACTTACAAATTTTAAAGTTAATTACTAACTACTAACAGGAAAACTATATATATATATATCATATAACAAGAATTTGAAAGAGAGGAAGAAAAAAAGGCAAGCTATTCTGAAATGGGCCAAAACCTAAATCATATAATAGAGCAGAGAAGATAGACCCAAAGTTTGATGAAGGCCTATATAGTCTCCACTGATAACCAATCTTGATATTGATTTAGAAGAAACATTACAAAAACGAAAGTCAGATTGAAAGCAACACTGAAAAAGGCTAATAACCATATGATGTGCCGTGCGTGTGTGGATAGAACTTAAAGAATCGATCTCCCCCATGTTTGAAATGAATCTTGCTTGCGGAACCCTTTTAATTTCCCTCTTTTATTGACCAGACTTTTTATATATCGCATGCATGCGGGAAGTGTTATTTTCGTTACGATGGACCTTTGTTGATTATTATATCAATCACTTCTTTACAAAAGTGACATGATTTTATGAAAATTATATCTCTGATGATCATTCGTACTACATATCAAAAATTTATTCCAATGTGTCCGCAAATATAGATATGGATGAAAACGTCAAACACAAACAGTATTATATATCTCTATCTCCTTTTGATTATAAATCATAATGGGCAGAAGCCGCATATATCAAGCTTAGGTTCACACTTCATATATCATACATTAAACCATAAATTAAACACAACGAATATCAGTGAACAGTATAAAAAGACACAGAATAGAATCCCCACTATATATATTCACGTAAACCAGAGATTTTTTTTTTTTTTTAAGTGTCACAAGAATATAAATACTATAAAAATCGAACTTTCTGCAGTTAACTTCACGTGTGTGGGTAATTGGGTGATTCTCAGTATACACGCACATCCGTCACCAACTTCGTTTCTTAGGATAAATATTCATTATATGAACAAGATATAAAAATGTAAGTAAAAAAAAAAAGGTTCAAATATATATAGTTGACTCCGATCCCATATATTGATCAATTTTCACCAAAACAGATTGATTAACCAACCAAGAACACTCATTGATTGTTTATTTCTTGTCGACTTTATATATTATCTTACACACAATAATAATGAAAATATACATGTGCGTGTTCGGTATGGTAATGGTTTCATGACGTTCACTTGCTCAAACTCAAGAAATATTATATGGCTCACGTTTCTGCAGAACTGTTATCTCATCTCATTTTATTCTCTATAAATACGCCTCAATTACTCCCTAACGTAAGTCTCATATATCTTCCTCTTCATCTTCATTTTCAATACCTCTCTCTATAAACTTGTTATTACCTTTCATATAACAAGAAATTGTATAATACCTTGGTCATATATAAAAAAGAAAAAGGAATGGCTAAGTTCAATACTATCTTCTTCTTCATCATCGCTCTTCTTATCTGCTCCACACTTACATACACATCAGCCCGGCCCACTCCAACCTCCGTTTATCCGGAAGAAATCTCCATCAAGGTCTAACCTCATTCTCATGGTCTTTTCTTATATGTGTGTGTTAAACTGTTAATTATACATGATATATCATTTTGCGTATATATATATATATGAACTACTCAAGAAAAGAATATCCAAGTATCTAGCTTTTTTCTAAGAGTTTTGAGGACTAGTAAGTGATTCAGATCTTTCAGCTCAATATATTTCTTTGTCGAGACTAACATTTCCGGTTACGTACGTGCGTATATTTTTACTGTTATGAGCAGAAGCTAGAACAAGGAGATGAAAACTGTGAAGGTGTCGGAGAAGAAGAGTGCGTCTTGATACGAAGAACTTTAGTTGCTCATACTGATTACATCTACACTCAAAACCACAGTCCTTAAATGATTACTTACCTTTTTAAATATTGTTGGATTAATGATCATCCCCCTTATGTATGACGTTTTAGTATATATCCATATATATATATATATATTTAGCTCATTACTATTGCTGCACTTTGTACTTTCTTGATTATGAACCAAAACTACTTCTCACATTTTATAGTACTTGATTGTATTTTGGTCGCTTAATCGGAAGTTATTATATATGCGTTATAAAATAAATCAGTTACTGAACTAAGTTTTCGTTCATAAATCATAACAAAAGATATGATATTTAGTTAATAGTCTTCTTGCAGACAGACCACACAAGCTAATTCGTCTCATCTCATGTAATCTTAATTCGGATTTTGTTTTCAGTCTTAAATGAAAGAAGCTGACTATTTTGTTTTGTGGAAATTAAATCCCTCATTTGATAGCACCAGTTTCTGATACCTCACGCACGCATTAAAGATAATAAACGCATACCACCTATCAAAGAACGACACACCACCATCTATAAATGTAAAACAGAGACATACATATGCTTTGGGATTATGTGTGGAGTACAAATTTTCTCAATAACTCTCCAGGTCAATGACATAGACACATTTTATTTACCATATGAAATAAAAACTTAAAAAATGAATTTGGTTTCTCGAAACATATGTTGAAGTTGAAGACGTCACTGAAGTTATTTTTTAATATTTTGATAAGTGATACTGAATATATCATTTTAGACTATAAAATAGTAGAAAATATTATAAAGCCATGTATAACGTTTTGGAAAGTGGTCAAAATCAGATCACAAGTTTTATTATAAAATGGAGACAAAAGTGAAAAAAGAGGAAGACGGTGAGAAAGAAGAAGATTGAGTCGGTGACTCGGTCGGCTTGACAATTATTTTGGTCCCTTCTATTATTTTTTCCTCGTGTGTATGGCGTTGACAAAAATATACGAAGGCTTTTTTATGGGCTAAAATGTTGGGCCAAGCCCATGTAATAGTTGGCATGTCATAATCTCTATTCTGAAAACCCTTACTTATAAAAGTTTCGTCGCGAACGGCGGCGACCGGGAAGATCAGCTTGAGCGGCGGCGAACCTTATCGTTTCTGGTACAATGTTTCGGAGGAACAGGTTCCTGTCTCTCCCAATGGTGGTCGGAGCAGTTGTGTAAGTAGTCGTTTTATCTTTAATTAGTCGATAATCTAAATCTTGAAGATCTGGTCGTAGATGATAATATATAATAGAAGTTGTAGATTACTCAATTTTCGACTTCATTTTTAGGTTTTAGAATCGTTCTGAGCATTTTTTTCAGGATTCAAGAAACTTCTTGTTTGAGGATCGGACTTTAATTTAGCAAATCAGATAAGGATTTGTGTGAAATTGTCTTAACCGAGATTAATCAAAATCTTAGAATTGTTAGATCTCCTGACATTTGTTAAACTGATCTTTTTTAAGAGCTATTAATTACTAATTTACTAATGTGAAGTAATCTGAATAGAGAGGTATTTGTTTTTGGTTTGCAGGATTGGTGTGGTTTCAGGGAAAGCAATATTTGGGCCTCCGCTTGATCAATACTGGAAGGAGAAGCTTGAAGGTGAAGAAGCTGTTGCTGCAAAAGAAGCCATTGAAAAGAGCTCTGATTCTTCATCATCTCCCTAGTGATTTTGGGATGTTTATGTAAATCACAGACCATGTCTAAGAAGAGCTCGGATATTAATGTTTATGCAAGGAAGCACAATGTTGATTTATTGTAGGAGAGACAATGCATACAAACAAAATGTAACAATGTAGTAAGTTGCTTGTATTTCACGTTTTCCAAACTCAAGGAGAATAATAAACCCTAAAGAAGCTTCCTCCTTCGTTAGTCCTTAGTCCTTTTACCATTCTCACTTCCTAATACCTTCTCAAGGTATATTAACAAGTGTAATATTACGAAAATTTAAAACAAGTTTTACATTCTTTTGAGTGAATTTCAAAAGTAGAATCTTAAAAAAGTGATGTAAAACACCATTTTAAACTTGGCACACGTTAACAGAACACATGTCGTAGTATCATAGATTTACGAAAAACTAAACATTGTTTGATACAGTCATTGCTTTATAGTTTTGATTAAAATTTAGTAATCACGTTAGTCTAATATACTAGTTAACTGGTTTTATAATTAACTTTTGTTTCTGACAGGTCGACATAAGTTGTACAAAGTACAAACCACTAGAAAGGTAAATTACAACTGGACTGGCCTCTATTTGTGTGTGTGGTCGGGCCACGTTTTCTGTAACCCACACATTAAAACATTTTTGCATTTATAGTATAGATGTATGTTGTTTACAGATTTTATTTTATTTTATTGTGTCCTGCTAAATTTCAATAAATGAGTGTAAAAACAATTTTCTAATTGTTAGTTTTGTAGACGAAATAATAGAAATTCACCTGGAATGAAAGAGTGACACGTGGACAGCTCGATTCTTAGGATACGGAAGAGGCGGAGCAGTCGCGCCTCTCAGAGTCCACCCATCTTGCCACGTAGCTTTACAATGTTACATGTGGCAAATCTTGTGTTGGCTTGCTAATACACCTCATCATCTTTCAACATTTACATGTTCCCTTTTCTTTATCATTATTTTTTATTTTATTTTGTAATGAATTTTTGGTATTGTGGTTCCATTAAAAAATCACTTATAGGAAAATATCTTCGTTTTTTTTAAATTACTTTGTCTTGATTTTCATTAATCATATTAATATTTGACCATAAAGTCTCATAACATTTAACACTTATAAGGTAACTGTGTCAGAAATTTTAAAAGTTTCCAAAATAGCAAAAGATGGGATGCATTTGTCAAAACAAATAATAAAAAATAGATGAGATGCATTTGACTAAAATAATAATGTCTCATGTATCTCTGTGTGTGTATATAATAAGTGTGCTTATTTTTTGAGTTTTTGCTCTCTCGTATATTAAGAAAAACATCATAGATAGATATGATAAGTACATGAGATAGATAGATACGATTTGGCTACAGTTTCGGCTTCTCTTTTTTTCTCGTCCACCAACTTAAACTAGTTCTCTCCTCTTTCGTAGCAGAAAATATAATTTTTGCAATATTTTCTTCCAGAGAATCTCTCCATTTTTAGGATTCTTCTTCTCCTTCGTCTTCTTACACACATTAGTCTCTCTATTGAATAAGAATCTCAGCTCAGGTATCTATATCTATCTCTCTTCGTTTTCTTATTCTTCCTCCTTCGTCTTGAGATTCTTGAGAAATAAATTACAAACTCTTTCTCTGGTTTTTTCAAGACGGATTCTGATTCTCATTCAGATTCAGATTGAATATTTCTTATATTTTTTTTTCTTTTGTTTTCTTTCCTGAATTTACAATTTTTGGGTTTCGTCTTCTGCTATCAATTAGCTCTGTTTCCTAAATCGAATTATTTTTTTTCCAATGCGAGTCGATTTTATGTGAACAACTATTCTTCCAAGTTGAGGTTAATCTTAATCTAACCAAAAAAAGACTGAGTACTCAAAGAAATTTCGAGTAAGGATATATATTTGCACCTGTATATTTGAAGCAGTTTGTCTCTAATTTATGTTTCTTACGTTTTTTTGTTTTCTTTCTTTTTCTAAAATTATAATTTTAAGATATGGTTTAGATTTGATTCTGAACCGAAAGAATCGGCTGACCTTCTTATTTACATTAAAAAAAGTTTGATTACTCTGTAATTATATATTTTAACCTCGTTTACATCGTGGGATAACAAACAAAGTTTTTGATACATTGCTCCGCTTCTTCTCCCTCGACTAAATAAAACTTGTTTGTGTGTGTATAATTAATATAGGTCGGATTTTTAAGAGCTAACTAAGTTAAGATGATGGAAATAGCTTACCAGCCTCGGGTTGATTCCGAGATCGAATCACTAGTCGAGAGAATCAACCCTCCCAGGTAATTCATACTTTGTTATTAATCTTCTACTTCTCGTTATTTAATTTTGATTAGTTAGTTGTTTTAATTTTAATATTGATGGTTTTGTGTGATAATTAGGGTTTGTGTAGACAACGACTCAGACCCAGAGTGCACACTTGTTAAGGTATTATTTTATACTAAAAAGCCTTTGCTTTTTTTTTGCTTTTGTCATGCTTACTACTGGTTTTAAGCTCATAGATAATTTGACTAATTAGCCTTAATTAATCATGTGGTTGATATATGTAGGTAGATAGCGCGAACAAGTACGGGATATTACTGGACATGGTTCAAGTTTTGGCTGATCTTGATCTTGTTATCTCAAAAACTTACATCTCATCCGATGGTGAATGGTTCATGGATGGTAAGTCGTCATCAACTCATCATCATCAATTCACATGTCATCATTGGTGGACCACATCTGAAATTTCTCTTTGTTAGTGTTTCACGTGACGGACCAACTCGGGAATAAGCTCACAGACCGAAGCCTTATTCTCTACATTCAACAGGTAAAGAAAAGAAATCATTACTTAAATAATCACCTAATCATTTTCGTGTAAAAAATCTTACTTGATTTGATTTAATGTTTGACTAACTTAACTAACATTAATTAAGTGTACAGGACTTGTTTTAATACAATCAATTTATAAGTGTCTTTGTAATGGTTTATATTTAATTCAGGCTATATGTTCTAGTAGAACGGGAGGTATAACGAAGGAGATGCAGAGTAATCTAAAACGGGAGGTGCAACAGCGCCACGTGTCTACAGAGCACACGGCGTTTGAGATAACCGGGACAAACCGACCAGGTCTACTGTCCGAAATCTCCGCCGTACTTTCGGACATTGGATGTCACGTGACAGCCGCTGTTGCGTGGACCCACCACGAGCGAGCGGCGATGGTGATTTATCTAGAAGATGGGTTTAACGGTGGGCCCATTATTGACCCGATGAGAAAGGCCCAAGTAAAGGATCATCTGGATACTGTCATGGAGGCCCATCATAGGGTCGGCGATGAGTCTCGCGTCGTGGTGAGGATCGTCGAGGCTAAAGGAGCGCCGGTCGGCTGGGCTCACACTGAGCGACGACTTCACGAGCTGATGTACGCCGAAGGGGACTACGAGAGCTGCTTCGACTGCGATTGCTTTAGCGGTGACAGGTGCGTTTGCGTTTACACAAAAAGTGGTTCTAATCACCAAATTAAGGTAACATTTGATTTAAACTTTATTATGACAGGTGCGATGCCTTGTGGAGAGGAAGATGTGAGAGGATACACGTAGCGATCGAGGCATGCAATGGTTATTCAATGGTGAACGTCAAGTGCAGAGACAGGCCAAAGCTACTATTCGACACGGTGTGTGCTTTAAAAGAGTTACAATTCGTAGTGTTTCACGCAGTCGCCGGAGCTAAAGGGTCCACGGCGGAGCAAGAATATTTCATAAGGAAGAAGAATGGGTGCACGTTGGAAACGGAAGTGCAAAGAGAGAGACTAAGACATTGTTTGGTCGCTGCCATATCGAGACGCGCTTCACGAGGTTTGAAACTTGAGATTCGGACACAGAACAAGATGGGTTTGTTGTCGGATGTGACTAGGGTTGTGAGAGAAAACGGGTTGTCGATAACGAGGGCTGAAATGAGTACGCAAGGTGATATCGCGGTTGGTTCGTTTTATGTAACGGATGTGAATGGTGGTGAGACGGATCCGAACGCTGTGGAAGCGGTTGTACGAGAATTGGGTGGCGCGGTTGTGTCAGCTGTTAAAGCGGTTGGGATGATGTCGATGAGGATGGGTGGTTCAACGAGTGCTAGTGTGGAGCAGCAAGACAAAGCTAAGTCCTCGATTGGGAGAATGTTTTGGTCTAAATTAGAGAGATTATCAACGTCGATTAGATCGTTGTGAAATATTTAATTTTGGCCTCTCTTCATTAATTTGTCCTTGTAAATATAGCTTGAATTTAGAGGAATCTTTGCAGATTGAATTCGCATAATTGGTTTTAAGGTGATAGAATTTAATCGACCAAAACTGTGACACTCTTTTGTGCCTAGATATTCAACGAGGCACATCTGGTTTGGTTTAGATAAAAAATAATTACATTACAGTAATTAACAAGTCAACAGAAGGGCATTAAGGGAAATTACTTTTTCAAAAAAAAACAGAGACCTTTATAAACCCTAATGTGACGGTACCACAACAGAACACTCTCGATTTCGATTTTTTTTTTTTAATAAGAAACGTAGTAAACCCTAATTTTTTGAGCGGGAGGCGCAATTTATACAATCAGCAGACGAATTTGGATTTAAAATATTCGATAAGAGCTTTGGATTCGGCGGCGAATAAGCAAACATGGCGGATTTGGGATTGGAACAGCATTCATCAGAAAGTGAAGAGATTAAGAAAATGAAGAAGGAGAGTAAGAAAAGAGTGAGAGACGAAGCGAAGAAACGAGAAACTGGGGAAGAGAACGAAGCGTCAATCGAAGAAGAATCGACGAAGAAGAAGAAGAAGAAGAAGAAGAAGCTAAAGGAGCGTGGAGATACTGATGACGAAGCGGTAACAGCTGTTAGCGATGAGGAGCCGAAGAAGAAGAAGAAGAAAAAGAAGAAGGATGTGAAAGTGGAGTTTGGAGAAGAAGACAATGGCGAAGAGAAGGACGGAGACAAAGCGGGGGAAACTAGTGGGAATGGGATAATGACTAATCAAACGTTTGAGTCATTGGAATTATCTGACAAGACTTTGAAAACTATCAAGGAGATGGGTTACCAACGCTTGACTCAGGTATCATCAATTTGGAATTGAATATGCCTTTTCCTTTTTTTAAAAATTAAATTGTAGAGCAAGATTCAAATTTGGATATCCACGCTTTGCAGATACAAGCAAAATCAATTCCGATATTGATGGAGGGAAAAGATGTGCTTGGAGCCGCCAGGACTGGTTCTGGTAAAACCTTAGCTTTTCTTATTCCGGCTGTAGAGCTTCTTTACAATGTCAAGTTCCTTCCTCGCAATGGTACTGGTGTTATTGTTATCTGCCCAACAAGAGAGCTTGCCATTCAGGTTTCCCAGCTTTTTGCCAATTTATCTGCATCAGTTTTAGCATTCGTTTGTTGTGCATTATAGTTGATACTTATTCATTATTTAATATTTCAGTCTTATGGAGTGGCGAAAGAGCTTCTTAAGTATCATTCACAGACTGTAGGAAAGCTTATTGGCGGTGAGAACAGAAAGAAGGAAGTTGAAATTCTTGTGAAAGGTGTTAATTTATTAGTTGCAACCCCTGGAAGACTTCTCGACCACCTTGAGAATACAAATGGTTTTGTATTCTCGAATTTGAAGGTGAACACAAAATTCTAACTTCAATTTTCGGTACTTCTGGTCTTGTCATTGGTTTTGCTTTAATGCACTTCTTATTCTCTGTTAAATTGCAGCTTCTTGTAATGGATGAGGCTGATAGGATATTGGAACAGAACTTTGAAGAAGACATGAAGAAAATTATTGAGCTTTTACCAAAGGTATTCTCGCGGCTTGCCTAGTGAAAGTAAACCGATAATAATTCCCATACCGAGACAATGTTTTAAGTTTAACATGAATCATTGAGAGGTAAAAATTTTCTTTTCATGTCAACGTGTTGTCGCTAATGGTAATGTGTCTTTTGTATTGCTTCAGAAAAGACAGACTTCCCTGTTTTCCGCCACACAGACTGCCAAGGTTTGTTAACCAATCAATATGGTTTGTCACTTCTTTCTTATTAGTGTCAGTTTTATAAACTTAGTGGAATTCGATTAAACCATCAGGTTGAGGATCTTGCAAGGGTGTCACTTAAGTCACCTGTTTATATCGATGTGGATGAAGGACGAGAGGAGGTAACGATTAACACAACTTCTGTTATATTTTCTCGCATTTTACTTTATTACCAAAACCAGCCTTTTTTTATTTGGAGGAAACTGGAAACTGTAGGTTACAAATGAAGGCTTGGAGCAAGGTTATTGCGTTGTGCCTAGTGCTAAGCGATTAATTTTCTTACTAACCTTCTTGAAGAGGTTCCTTGGGAAAAAGAAAATCATGGTGTTTTTCTCTACGTGCAAATCGGCAAAGTTCCATGCGGAACTCTTTCGATATATCAAAATAGATTGCCTTGTAATCCATAGAGGGATAGACCAGAACAAAAGAACCTCAACATTTTTCCAATTCATAAAGGCGGAAACGGGTATTTTGTTGTGTACTAATGTTGCAGCCCGTGGTCTTGATATTCCTCATGTGGTATGCGTCCTTCACAATTTGATATTTAAAAATATCTGAATTGGTTTATCTCTAATCAAATCTCTGTGATTATTGTGGGCTTTGTATAGGACTGGATTGTGCAGTATGATCCTCCTGATAACCCTAAGGTATGTTGCTTAGTTTTTGGCAAATGCGTGTGAGAATTAGTGCTCATTTTCTTGAATGTGTTACTCTTTTATTATCTAGGAATATATTCATAGAGTTGGTAGAACAGCTCGTGGAGAAGGAGCAGAAGGGAAGGCTCTGCTTGTCCTAAATCAAAAGGAGTTAAAGTTTATTCAGTATCTCAAGGTAATTGTTTTCATCAAATAAACTGTGATATTATTCAAGTTATAGAATTTTTGATTAAAGGATATTTTGCAGGAAGCTAAAATTCCTGTTGAGGAACATGAATATGAAGAAAAGAAATTGCTGAATTCGCAAAATTTTCTGGTAGAACATCTATGCTCTTTCTAAAATAAATTACTATACTGAGGAGACAAGAGTTGAGGGATTTATCTAAAATGTTATTGCAGGAGAACTTGATAACTCAAAACTATGCTTTGGAAGCGTCAGCAAAAGAAGCATACAAGAGTTACATTTCAGGATATGATTCTCACTCTATGAAAGATGTCTTTGATGTTCACCTCCTCGATCTCAAAGTAACAAAACTGAAGCATTACGAAATGCCTTGATATCTGGAATACATTCTGTTTCTATATTTTGCCATCTGATATAAACCTCATTTTTGTGCAGGAGGTTGCGGCTTCTTTTGGTTTCTCCAATCCTCCTCGAGTTTCTCTGAAGATAGATCGAGGAACTTACAAGAGTAAGAGAGAACCAGTTAATAAGTTTAGCAGAGCTGGTGGCAGCAGAGCTCGTGGCGGCAGAGCCGGCGGTAAAAAGTTCGAGAGGTTCTAAAAACAGAGTTTAAATTACAGTTGCACAAGAAAAAGACAACTTCGTATTTAGAGTCTAACTGGCACAAGCTTTTTAGTTTTACGAATGTTGGATCTTTTCCTTGTTCTATTACGATTGTGTTATTTTGAGTCACCTCGAGAGAACGAGACAAAGAGAGGCCAGTTTTGTACCGTTACGTAGAAATATTACTCATATTTTTTGCAATCGAAAGCATTGCTTCTATATAAACACTTGCTAATAAGGGCCTTCATATATTGGGTTATAGAATATTTACAGCAAATTTCAACGCAACTCGGTAGGATCACATATTTGGAAGACTTAAGAATTAATGTTATATATTAAGAAAAAAGAACACTGGATGATGTCACTAACGATCACATTACATTTCATGGACATCAAGCCAGTGGTTTTGATTCTTTCTTCTCTTTTAGCTGAATCCAATCTGGCAAATTTTTGTTTGAAGAATCAGAACAAGAGTTGGTAACTTTCTTGTAACTCACCTTCACGTCTCCTTCATCTTCCTCTAAATCACTGAATGATACATCTTCTTCGTCTTCAATAATAGGATGATTTGTGCTTGCTCTTCCTTCAATGGCGCTAACAGATGAAGTGTCTTCATCGTTCAACCAATCATCTGCATCGTCTTCTTCCTCGTCATCCACTTGCACATTGATAACTCTAGATGAAGAAGCAGTTGATGCTTCAAAGCCTTCAATGACAGATTTGTCAACGATTTGTATCTCCTGGCTTTCGATAGGGTGCTTCTCTGTTTCAAAGTCAGATGACTCGATTGTACTAACTATTTCAACAGGTGAAAGTTCAGGTACAGCAAAAGGTTCCACAATGACAGCATTAGCTTCAGAACTCCCTGCTTCCATAGGTAATTTGTTACTTTTCTGTAGTTGGTGGGATAACATTGCTCTTGATTCGAGTACCTTTATGCAAAGGTAAAAAAATATTAGTGACAGGAACAATAAATTATCGAACTTTATCCCATGAAACCTGAATTAGCACCACTTAGAAAACCACTTGCAAATCTAGCAAACCTGATTGACGTGCTACTATTTAATAATAAAGATGGCGCTGTTGTGACACAAATTCGATTACCAATTTACCATTATACTATCCAGAAGAGAATGACTCGCATCAGCCATAGGATTACGTTGAACACAATTTATATATAGAATTTGAAAGGTATAAACTTGAAAATAGGTTAGCCATTTTTCAGCAATTGAGTTGAGAATCCAATATACCTGAGGAGTAGAGAGAAGCAAAGCATCGTCTTTACTGAGTTTAGGATGCACGAGTAGGAAGTAAATCCTCCAGAAGCAATTCTCACTCATATATTCAGGGCAAAGCTCAATTCTCAAAGAAGCCAAGCTCGGTGCAAGCCTCTCCACGGCCAAAGCATGCTCATATTGAGCATCGGCCATTTCAATGTCTGCAAAATGAGTTTGAAAACAGACTTGATATCAATTTCATCCCAAGAAAGAAATAACTTAAAAAAAAAAAAAAAAGATGAAAACACAGTTGAGAAACCTGAAACAAACTTCACTAATCTTAGTTGATCAGCTCAGACTGAGTAAGAAGAAATCGAGAAACCAATTTGATCTGAAACAAAAAACTTACCATAAAAGCCATCTTCCTCATCAGATAAAGGAAAATCCAACCAAGTCTCAGGATGCATCGCAAGATCCTTGGCAAACGCAACTAATTCCTCTGTAACTCCGATTACGTCGTAATCTTTCGGATCCGAATCTTCTGAGCTCAATTGTAAAAAATTCGAAGCCATCTTTGTGAACTCAGATACAGGTAAGTTGCCAGATATCTTCGAAATCCCAGTCCTGAATCTCCCACCAATCTCCGCGAAATCGTTCCTAATCCCAGCAATCAGATCCTCATCCTCATCTCCACCTCCAATCGCATGATCTGGACTCTGATTTCTCTCCTGAAGATCCGGAGACGAAGACGGTTGGGAGAGGAACGAAGCTACTCCCCAAAACTGGCTTCTCAAGGTCTTGGTTAGTTCGGTGATGTCTTCCTTAACGCCTCGAGGAGACTGTGAATCCGATATCGATAACGATGGCGCTTGACTCGAACCGGTCTCATCACCAACAACTCGTTGCTTTTGATCATCGTCGTCGTCCTCATCGATCTTGAGTGAGTTCGCAATGGATCTAGCTAGCCAAGCCATATCTAAATCTCTATCCCACACAAATTGCGATCGTGATCTTTTCCAAAGCTCGAAGCAAAGCAAAAGCTTGAGAGATAATGACTGAGAGAGCTCCAAATCAATCTTAACTTCTTCAGCTAATCTTACTAATTAATATCTTCTAATTTAGATTTAAAACTTTAATCTTATTAATATCTTAAACAAATTTCGTCGCTTTGGCGTAATTCCAATTTAAAGCCATTTTCTTTGACCGTCAAATATTACTGGATCTACTACATAAAAGCCCATATAGTTCAATTAAGGCCCAACATAAGATATCTCAGAAGTTTCGACGTAATTCTTCTTCTTCTTCCATAACGCCAATTATTTTTGGTCAACTATACACAGTCTTGTTGTCCAAGATTGGTAACTGTTTAGATTTAATATCCAGACAAGAACTCTCACATCAGTGACATCACACGCGTTGAGATACAATACAATGTTCACAGAGATATGTTCAGAGGCTCATATCCAATTCAATAAAACCAGACAGTTACATATAAGAACAGAGATAAACGTGTCTTATTGGACAAACAAACAGTTAACACAGTTGTCAAATCATCCCTTTCTAATCAGTTGTTCATTTGCATAGTTAATAAAATCAGACCAATGCATGTTCAAATACAGACTTTTTTTTTGTTTCCCTCCACAAATCTGAGACCCACACCCACCCATCTCAGATTTCTAATCCTACTGTTCTATCAAGGATCACTTTATTTCTTTCCTCAATCATTATTTGGTCTTTTCTTACATTTTTCTGTCTTTTTTGTCTAAGAAACATTATGGTACAAATTCATATGCCAAGAAAAAAAGATTCAGAGACTAATACTTTCTTCAATTAAGACCCAAGAGAAGCTAATAGGTTTACAAGAGGCCACAAAAATGATTACTTTCTTCAATCTATTTAACTATATTGAGAATATTGAACCAAATAGAACAAAAAGATCTATACATTTTGCTTCTTCCTAGCGATTATTCCATTCACCATTCAAGCTCATTCATTTGTTTCAACTTCCTAGAGCTTCTCCAGAACCAGATCAATAGCATGAAATCTTCATCTATATACATCAACAAGATGAGGCAGATCCGTTTTGTGTATTGCGTGAAAACTCGATTTGTCTTTTATTGGATTGTTCTTGTGAGTTTACATTTGGAGATAAACATTGTGTCTGAAAAGTGTAGACTGCATAGCTTCAATAGCTCAGCGGAACGTTGCTTCAAAGCTGGATCACATCCGCTTTGGATCACTAGCAGGAGCTTTGCAGCCAAACCAACATCAACAGCAAGAGACGAACATTCTTCAGAAGCTAACTTGCAAACTGACCAAAGGATCAAAATGGCGTAGTTTGTGCATTTCTCAGATACTTTCATCAGTAACCTAACGGTATTCGGGATGGTGTTAACTGAATCTTTCAAAGCGATCCTCCCTTCGGTTTCCAAACACAAGGAATCCAACACGAAAAGAGCTGATTCCAAACTCTCGTAATCCAAACATGGCAAAACATCAACCAGTTGAGGAACTGCTCCAATCCTAACCATCAAGTGTCTAACTTGTTTATGAACGGATATCGACTTGAGCAACGTTAACGCAGGCGAAACACCATTTCTTCGTCTCCTATCTCTTACCAACCTCATTAATCCTACAAGCAAACTGTGACTAGAAACAAGCTCTGCTCTGAAACTTTTCTCCTCCACCAACATTCCAATCAATCTAGCACAGTTGATTTTGGTTTCAATAGAACCATCATTCAACATATCAACCATCAAAGAAACCCTAGCTGGTTGCATCAATCCAGCTTTGGAATCAGAATCAAGCTCGAGATTAACGAGAATCGCAATAGCCTCGGATCCAACAGCGTGAGAAGTAAAAGGACTTAAAAGAGAAGAGATCACAAAGATTCCACCTTCATCAACAACAGTCTTCTTAGCAATTGCGTGAGCCATCACAACTTGCTTAAGCTCGCTCAAAGCATGAACCTTTGCTTTCCCTTTAGCCCTTCTCAGTGTGCCCAGAATCTCAATAGCTCGTCCTTGGACATCTTCGGACCGTTTCTTCATCAACACATACTTTTGCGAATACCAAGTGTAGATCAACTGATGAAGAGTCTTGTTAGGAGTGACCAAATCATCCCAAAGCTCCTGCATCGTCGTTGGGCAAGTACAGTGCCCCAAACTGAACCATTTGAGAATGTTTGACCGCTCGTAGGTTTGACCAGTACACAAGGTGACTGGATCTCGCATCGGCTCAAGAGAGATAGGACAGATGAAAACAGAGGGTATTTCAGGTAATTCCAGCTCAGAGATCATCTTCTTCAAATCCAATTTCTTCTTCTCGTCTGCAACAACAACCACAGCTTCCCCATCTCCGCCACCGAGAACGCCGTCTTTAACCGCCGTGTGTAGATCTAATACATTCCCATCAAACCCACCATTCTTCTTCCAAGGTTGAAACATTGGCATTGTTTGACAAATTTACAACCAAAGAAAAGGTTCCCTTTCAAAAACAGAGCCTTTCTCTCCTTCCTTGGTTTAAGAAAAATGAGTCGAGAGGAAACATTCAACTCTCGTAATAATAATAATAAGACAGCAGTGTATCATAAATACATGATTAATGCTTCCCCCACCAGCTAACCAAAATTCTGGATTGTTCCACGAGTTTCAGAAGAAGATTAGAATGAATGTTTAAATTGAAAAGGTAAAGAACAGATCGAGAGTAAACCTTAAAATCTATGAGCAGGCAAGAAAAGAAAGGAAGTAAATTTAGGAAGAATTTAAGATGATAAAATTTGAGAAGACGAAGAGGAAGAAGAAGAATGGTTGTGGTGTTTCGGTGAGAAGGAAAATTATTAAAGCAAAGAGACAAATTAAAAAAGGAAACGTTTCTTTTGGTTTGGTCCAAAGATTTTCTCTTTTTTTCACTTTTTTTGCTGAACCGAAAATTAATTATAAAATAAAAAAATACAGATGTTGTTGACCGAGAGACTTCACAGGCTACGTTCGCCGGTTATCGAGTCATCTCGACCCATGCACCACACGTGCAAGCTCAAATGTCGAGTTTTACATTCCCGTTTTGTCCTTGGCTTACCCCATAAGTTGAAGAAACCATTACCGCTAAATTTGATAAAAGTGGGGTAAAATGGTCATATTAGATGATGAGCAAAGAAATTCTCGCACGTAAGTAAAAAAAAAGCTGCGAAGAGTCTCACAGTTTACCCACTAAACTCCAAATACCCACGAGGACAGGTTATAGGGCACGTGCGACGATAATTTCAATGCCTAATTACTCACATTAACCTTTACTTGAATTATTACCAATGCGGCTATTAAGCTAACTATTTTAACAAAATGTAAATATGAAAACAAAGCAATACTTGTTCCGTTGAGAATATTGAAATGAAAAAAAAAATTAGTATTACTGGAGAAATCCGCAAATCAGGGTAATTATACTTTCTACATGTAATTTGATTTTAGAAAAATTATTAGTTTCTAGATTGGCACGAAAAGAAAAAGAGAGAAAACAAAAAAAGTGTAAAGAAAGGGATGTGGGGCTCTCTCATGACATGCAAAAGCTCCAGCTAGACATTTGACCATGACAGTGTTTGTTTGTTGTGTATGTGTCATGTGTGTCTTTGCTTTGACTGAACGCCTAGATCGTGTCTCTCGGTTGGCTCCGTCCTTTGACTGCTCTGTCACCACCACCACTTATCGAGATTTAGAAGTACTCTTTGCATGATTTTAATACAGATTTAACTAAAATTAATGAAGATAATTTTTATTAATAAGCGAAAATTGATGGGAGTGGTCAGCAGAAAGATCTGAGAAGTCCCATGTGTTGTTGTTTTGGTTGGAGTTGATGAGTATTGAGTACCATGCCAGAATTGCAGGAACTTTTTGATATTCCAAACAATTTTTTCAAAATTTTAAAGATAAGTTTGAATTGTGTGTTTCTGATATAAACAATAGGAGTGTATGTTAATAGAAATATGACTGAACCAACTAGTTTAAAATCCCAAATAAAATCGGTTTCATCTTTTATATAATATTTGTTTTATGAAAATTTCCAAATATGAAACGTAATGTATTTTACTTCAAAAAAATAAACATAAAAATACGAATTTTCAATACGATATCAAATAGATAGATAGGCAATGAATAATGATTTTCGGTGTTGTTGAGTATCCTCAGTCAAACTAGTAAACTTAAAGAGGACCGGCAAGAGTTTTAATTCGATGTGACGTGTTTTGTAGTAAACGAGTCGAGTCGAGTCATCATCATGTGATATTTTGAGGCTGGTTGTGTGAATGCCATGTAAAAAGCAATTAGCAATTTAGACGATAACATTTTGATAGGGTCCCTAGTGACCCATAACTCCATAAGGACAGGCTGTGTTAAAGTTGTTCTATAATGTTTTGATTACTAGAAGAAGTATAGAACACATACATATTAGGACAAATGCATCTTCCTTCTGATTATTAAACTTAGAGATTGAGTTCTTGAAAAGGTCGTATTACGCTGTCTTGCTCGTAAATTTTTCATTTTTTTTTCTTTCTAGCATTGTAGGTAGATGTCACGTGAGACAGTGGACTCGTAGATTAATTCACATGTGTCTCTCTGCTCATTTTAGGTTAGTGATACAAATTGTAAATTTCTATATTTGTTTCTCATTTTTTAACAGATACTGTAGTATACAAACCTTGTTTAATAGTATGATGAAACTGATTTATTTTTGTCCGGCAAATATTTATTTGCCAGTTCATATCATAGCTTAAACGATCATTGACTAGAATTAGACTGAACTCGATTAACGAGATCGGGTAAATGTATTTTAATAAAACTTTTAGATTTAGTTAAAATGTGTTTCTATTGGGCTAAAAGGCTTCTGAATGCTACATAAAAACGTTGAACGCTGGCCTTCATACATGTTATGATTTTTATAAGCCCAACTGCCCAAGAATCATACAGCAAAAAGATAGAGATGCAAAAGTGGGGAGTCTTTTTTTTTTTGTTTCTTTTCTTGCTTGTTGTCAAAGATGTAAAAAGAAAAGTTTTAATAAATATTTTCATATCAATATAATACGTACAAGTTTCACAAATTGACTTTCGAAAACTTTATTACGGGGTGGGGCAAGTTATGTAATAAGAAATGAGAAAAGTGCAGATAGATATGTCATCGATCAATTTATTGCTTTCATTTCAAGTTGCCACCAACATATTGAATCCATGTGAATTTTTAGCATATGACTATCTGTTTGGCAAAAAGAAACAAATCAAGCTGAAGCCTCTACTTATTTCACAAATCGGTATCGGTACCTAGGCTTTAAAAAAGAACAAAGGAATCAAGTCGACTGTATCAATACTTATTTGACAAATCGGTAATTGTTTTTTAAACTCCATTTTTATTTTCTTCCAATACACAATATCTTTCACTTCCCATCATCATCGCTCACTATTTCAGTATTTTTAATGAAAGAAATTTGGTGTCATATCTCAATCCATCTAACAATAATAATATTTTCAACTTTCAATAATATTATTTGTTGTACTCTTTGATAACGTGTTTAATTTAAGGACACATGGACTTAATCTTGGCAAATGCTATTTTAATAACTATTGATATTGTAAGTAAGGTTTAGCTTGAATAGATAAAACGTAAACCCCCAGCTTGGTACTTATTTTAAAAATATATTTTTCCTTGCTTAAACAGTCCACGAAATGAAAACAAAAACCTGCCGGCCTTATTAAATCGAATTTTCGTAAAAAAGAAAAAAAAAAAAAAGAGTTTTTAAAGAAGATAAGTATCAGCAAACTGTAAACATCCAACTAGATACATTTATATGTACTCTATTGTCTCTCTAATTTATTGTTTTTCAGAAATGAAAAATATGCATTTATAATTTAAAAGTCGATACTACACGGCACCCTCTCTTCTCGCATCATCTCCTCCTCTTCTTATCTCTCTCACTCTCTGTTTTCTCTTTTCATCACATTTTTGTTTCACTTTTAAAAATCATCATGAAAGCTAAAAAGATGAAGAAAGAGAGCAACTTAGCTAGGCTGGTGAAATCTCCGGTTCGTTTCTTGATCATGGCACGTGACGCTTACATACGCAGCATGACGTCATGCTCCGCCGGTTTCATCCGCGGTGGTGGTGGTGCCTCCGGTGCTTTTGGATTGCCGGCCGGTAGTTTTCAAATCTGCGAAGCTCAAAGCACCGCTCTCCCTCGTAGCTTCACCCTAAACTCGGCCACGTCGTCGACACGTGAACGTTGTAGACTTGTCTCATACGGCGCTGGCGGAGGAGAAATCACGGTGGATACGGCGGCGGTGAGACGACGGCTGGATCTCCGGAGAAACTACAGTTGTGTGGTGATGGGAAGGATCGATGAAGAGAAGGTTTGTGAGAAGTTTGAAGATGAGGAGTCCTTCTTAGAAGATTATTATAGCAAAAAAAGAAAATTAGGTGGAGTTTTTATTACCAATCATCATCAACAATAATTAAAAAAAAAAAAATCTGAAGACCATATTAAAAATCTCTCTTTTTTTTCTTCTTGATCTCTGCTTAGATGCAAAATTGTTTTTGTGTGCATTGTTCAAGTGTGCTTTTTTATTTCATATCATTAACTGAAATTTTAAGTTTTACTCGTATATAAAAAGAACTATATAGTTAGTTATATTTAAAAATACAGTATATATATAGATTATTAAGTGGGAGACATATGAGATCATGGAATGAAATATGTTTATCCAAAAAAAAAGGTCAAACAAAAAGAGATTATTGTTCAGTATATGTGAAGTCCATTTCTACACAACATCAATGTAATAATTGTGTGTGCGTGTGTGTGTTACATTGAAACAAAGCTACGGACCGATCACGGAAACAAAACTAAAGTTAAAGGACGCAAATAACATGTCTCATTCTTTATCGTGTTCTATTTCGGTTGTTGACGAAGTTTATGTGCATTTACAACAGTGGCCGATTTTATATATATTCTCTTAGATTATATACAAGTAAATTTATAAAAATTAAAGATATAGTGTTTAGTGACAAGTAAATTTATAAAAACTAAAGATATGAATGATATAATTATATGTTTTAGTTATTTTAAACGATAATTAGCTTTTTTTCTTTTTCTTTTTTTTGCACCTAGTTTTGATATTCAGCTTTGTAATTTACCATCATTTCGCCAAAATAATACAGCAATAAAATTTACAGAAACTTAAAATCGACTGCCGGTGTTGAGGTAAAAACCATTATTGAAATTCAATGTTTGATATTCAACAGTAAAATCGACAGCCGGTGTGGAGGTAAAAGACCATTATATGTTTGAATGTACATTTTTTGTGTTTGATGCTCTGGTTTTTAGTTTGTACATTATGGTTTCGAATGGAGAGAGCGTTTCGGGCAGCAGAACAAAAGCAGAAACTAGATCTCCGTTTTTTTCTGAACTGCACTTTATGTATTTTATGTTGAATGGAAAACTGGTTTTTATCTGCTTTTTATTGTTTTCCATTCAAGGCCTATGTTTGTGTTTCGACTAGTTTGTTTGTTTTCGTGGTATTAATATTGTTAAAGTGTTTCGACTAACGTAGACTGTATGTTTGCTCTTTGCATTTGCGTTGGGGGGAGGAGAGGAGAGGAGAGGGGAGAAGGGAGAGGGGAGAAGGGAGAGGGGAGAAGGGGAATGGGTTTCAGTATTCGTCGCTACGTTTGCACCCTACACATACATCTAAGTATGTAATATCTCTCTCTCTCTCTCTCACACAAAGCACCCTACACATACATCTAAACATCTAAAAATAAAACACACACACACACAAGTACCCTAGACATTCATCTATACATAGAGATTCTTTAGTAAAGCAATAGATAGAGATTTACTGTCGCCCCATTTTAAGCAGAAGACGAACAACGTATATCGACACTACACGTTTAAAGCTTCGGTCGTTTCACTGCCCTCTCTCTACACAGTCAATCCCTTTCTCCATCTGTTTCTCCATCCTTCATCAAATAAACCCACAAAACAAAAACAAAGATAAAGATTTCAGACAGATAACACCAAAAAAGTTCAATTACTATTATTTTCTTCTCAATCAAAACTAACAATCGTTATCGAAACCAATTTTTAACGTACTTTCTACCATTTCCTAACAAATAATATTTATAAACATTTTTTGAACCCAAATATAAAAGATCTATCAAATCTAGACACCAACATTTCCAAGTACTCAATCTTAACGAATAACACCCACATAAACGAGCTGGATTTTTAAAACATGGTCATTTGAAATGTTTCCAAACTACATAAAATAAGTCTTCTAACACACTAGTACTAGTTTAACAGAGAAAATCAAATGAACTCTTACCTTTTTAACAATGATGATGCCTCTCTCTCTCTCTCTC